TGACATCTCGTTTGGCAACACTAGTGAGCGCCAGATCTGCCAACACCTGCTTCACTCGACCTCTTTTCAGAGATCCATTGCCTCTGATTGTCATCTGCGAGATATAACTCAACGTTTGTCTAACACTTAGACCGTCGATGTGTTGAGTGGTTTTGGAGACAAAACCGCACTGTTCTTGGAATAGGCGTAAAGTGAGCGGAACATCGTTTAGCAGAATCTGTCCTCTTGTGCTGCCCTGACTGACTCTGTGTCCCATCACATCAATCAATGCTTTTTTACCCGAACCCTTACTTCCCAATATAGCCATCACTTCACCCGAATGTACCTTCAATTTAATATTTAATAGATATAAATAGTTATATTATTATAATGTAATCTATTTTAGGATCTATTCTATTGAATTCGTGATTGAAATGTTTTTAACGTTTTATTTAGTTTTCAAATGCGTGTAAAATTTATTTTACATTCACTTCTTTATACCATTTTAATTCAATAAAGTGTTTATTTTTATAACTTTTTAAAACTAGTCTTTAATTTTTGTAAACTTTACTTCAAGTTATCAGTGAAGTTCTTTCAAGCATATTATTAATATAAAATATATAATGTAGATTAAAAATAATTGAACCAGTTCACAAATAATATTATTTTAAATCATACAATATTATTTTTAATAAAATTTCATTATTAATAAAAATCCAAAAAAATTCGTTCATTACCTCACATGATATGTCTTTAAGTATAAGTCCGGATGCAATAGATCCGGTCATTCTGGACCAACATGATGATTTGTTGGGTACAATTGGTCCGCTATGCGAGACCCCAATCAGTTCCAACATATGTGGTATCGAAACTGTTTCCACACCAGCAGGTGCTCCAAAACTCATCTAAATTATTGCCATATTTTAACATTAATTGTGATATATTATAAAAATGCAAACAAATATTTAAACAATGGTTTAATATTAAAGAATAATTTAAAATTAAATAATTTGGGGAAATTTTTAATGCATTCAAAATTTATGGCATCATTATCTTCATAATTATCTAATGCTATAATGTTGTATAATTGAATTGATCATGATATATTTTATATTTTAAACTATTAGTTTGTTCATAGGATCCCCTCCTCCGCAACCCTCTTAACCGATTCAAAGTTTATACAGACAATGCAAATATAACTGATAGACAGCCTTAATAACTAGTAAACCACTGTTTTTTATGTGGATTATAAACTTTACAAATTAGAAGAGTTATAATAAAATTAACATACCTTTGGTTTAGTGGTGAAGGATATATGGGTCAGTTATGGGACGAATGGATTATATATAATTTCCAAAATGATCAATTAATCAAACAAAACTTTCAATCCAAGAATGTTTAAAACGTTTTGTGCATAACATGTAGATAATGATGAAAGTATTGATAATTACAAATATTTAAGTATTTAAAATT